GGGGAATCTGTGGCTATTATGTTGAACTGAGTGGTGTTGTAAAATAAATTAAAAAAAATAAAATGAAATTGGGCAGTATTTTGATACTTTGTTTTTGTGAATAATTTGAAGAATGTTGGGATTAATTCTTCTTTAAATGTCTTTTAGCTTTCTGTGTTAAAATTGTCTTGACCTGGAGTTTGGGGATGAGCTAACATTGAGTGTGGGAAGGGAATTTTGTAGATGTAAATCTGTGTGATCCACTCTAGGGCTGGTGGGAAGCAAGTGGGTGTCATCAGTGGTCTGTTACATATCTGGTAATGACTGGGGACTTTGCTTTGGAAGAGCTGAGGTAAAGGTGAAGATCTGAAGTTAGCCTACCTATTTTCATGTCTTAAGTGTCTTGTGGGGTCCCAGGGAGTGCTTGCTGAAGTTGGGGATGGGTAGAGCAATGAGTTTGTAGATGGAGTTGGGAGCATAAGATCTGTGTAATCTACTTGAGAAGGGATCAATAGGAGACAGGAGGCCTCTCCAGTTGATCTGCTGCAGAAATTTGGATGAAACTGAGAGTTTTGGAGGCAAGGAGGGATAGTTTAAGATCTACGGTCAGGTTAATTGTTTCAGTAGTCAGAGTGACTTGTGGGTTCCCATGGAATGTCTGCTACAGTTGGGGGATGGGATAAAGTACCTGAAAAAGGAGAGGGAAGTTAGGAGCAGAAGATCTGTGTGACCAACTGGAAATGGGATACAGGGGAAAATCGATGCCCCAGTAGACGGTCTGCTGTAGTTTGGGAATAAGACTGAGGAATTGGCCTCAGAGGAGCTGAGGGAGAGTTGCCTTTTCCTCAATTTCTTTAAGAGAATTTTCTATTTCCTCCTTAAAGTCCTCTATCATCTTCATAAAGTTATTTTTTAAAGTCAGTTTCTTTTGTTTCTTCTACATCGTGATGTTCAGGTCTTGCTGTTGTAGAACCACTAGGTTCTAGTGGTACCATAGTGCTCTTTATGTTGTTGTGTGTATTTTTTGCCTTGATGCCTACCCATCTCTTCATCTACTCAGTGCAAGAGGTGTCTGAGTCTGAAGGAACTGCTCTTGGTCTTCTCTGTCCTGGCTATGTCCATGTCTCAGGGGTCCACTCTTGTACCAATTGGCATTTTTAGTCCAACCAGAGTTCTTGGTTCAATTGGAGCTGGTGCATTCTGTGTCTCAGGGAGTCACTGAGGTCAAAAGATAATGGGTGAGTTTGGGGAGGGATTGGGTCTTGTGGATTGCAGGATATGATGGGGAATGCTGGTGAGGACGCATGCCCACAGGATTCTTCCCTGCTGGCCTACAAATGGGATAGCAATGGGTGGTGGTAGTGGAGCACAGGTTGTTCCCCAGGGCCTAGGTCCTACAGACAAGACTCATTGGCTGGTAGAAGAGTCACTCATCTCTTGCTCAAGTCAAAGCTGGTAGATTCTGTATCTTAGAGAGCTGCTGAGGATCCAGGGTGATGGGTGTGTTTGGGGGAGTGAGTGGATTTTATAGATTGTAGGGTCCAATGAAGAGTGTTGGTGGGAGTCCTGCAACAGGGGCAGTCTTTAACATTTTTATTAAACTTTTGATGGTGATTGATGATTAAACCACTGGATATCACATACTAAAATATTGTTGACACACTTAAAATAAAATTGAGAAATTTTTATTTTTTTATCCAGACCAAATTAAGCCTGGATACAATGGAGTAATGATTCATAATAACAAAGGGTCCAAAACAGGGAAAACACAGAGAAGTGAGGCGAGTGATGTTCACCAGCCACCAACTGTTATTATAGGAACGAGCAATGCAGCCTCTTAAGATGGAAGAGAGAGTATAAAAAGCCAGAAAGTTAGACACCAGGATCAGGATGTTCTTAGTGGCTCTGGACTCAGGGTATGCTCTGCTGGAACCATGAGTGCTGCGGATGTGTTGAATCCTCTTCTTGTGTCTGTACAGAATGACAATCATGCAGCTGCTGGACCAGGCTATGAGCACTGAAAAGAAGATTTCAGGATACACCACCAATGCTGCATAGAGTGAGCTACTGATTTCACTGCGCCCCACAATGAAGCAGTATCCAAAATCTCGATTTATTGTCACATTTTTGCTATTATTTCCAATATATGTGTACACAAAGAAAACGAAATTTATCAACATGTACAAGACCCAGATGAGGGAAATGTAGCAGCCAATGAATTTTACAGGTTTGACTTTTTGATCCTTCCAACAGGATTCCCTGGGACTGATGGTGATGGCCTGGAAGACACTCAAGAGGCAGGTGGTTCCAATGGACACACTCCTGCTAAATCCATGCATATATATTAGGAGCCTGCATCCAAAATCATTCAAAAACTGCTTGAGCCCAAAAGCTGCCACTGTGTTGGGCACTCCTTCAGAGAGAACAAACAAGGCATTGGCTGTCATTAAGTTCATAAGAATAAAGTCTGTGGGCTTTAATGTGCATTCTTTGTAGTAAAGGACTAGATAGTAGAACATGAAAGAGATATTTCCCAGAAGTCCAACTGTAGTTTGTAATAAGAAAAGGATTCTGAAGGGCATAATCTAGAAGTCCAGTCTGTGATTCAGTACCATATACTTTAGATTATAGCCATGAGATTTCTCTGGTCAAAAAGAACAAAAGCAAATGATTGTTTCTTAGAGTGAAAGAGCACACATTTAACCCTGAGAGGATGGAACAACTGAGAGGTTGAAGCAGAGAGTTCTGGAAGCTCAGGAGTTCAAGACCAGCCTAGACCACATAAAAAGACCTCACTCCCCAAATTTTGGCAGGAGTAGTTACCTTCAATTTATCTTAGTGTGAGATTGCTGAATACCTCAGAATGTGCATATTGATGCAAGGACAGTCTTCAAGTTTCATAGAAAGTGAAGCACTCAGGATGATGTGATGTTGGCCTATAAGAAAGAATGAAAATTGAGAGCCTGAATATACAAATACAATTCCAGAAAAATAATGGTATTTTCTAGTAATGGTATAAATGAAGACAACTTCACAAAAGGAGTACAAACCTTAAATATATCAATTCTTAAGGTATGTCTTATCTAAAATTTACAGATAAGTAATGAGAAATTTATAACACCATTTAGAATATATTTATGGTCTTTTATATAGCAAAGGTTCCTCCATTTTGTCATAGCTGGAGCTACCTCTGGTTTTACCTGAAACTCACTCTCCTTTTCTAACCCTTTCTGCAAAAGTCCTGTGGTAAAATATCAACCCAATTTTAGAAACTAGGGGTCAAAATGTCCCTAATAACAACATGTTTTTGGCTTCTATTAAACTGCTTCTTTGCTTTACTTTCCCCGGGCAATTACCAACAAGGATGGAGGTTTTCTGGGATCTTTGTCTTTAAAATCTCCACAAAAAATGTATTCCAGAGTGCTAGCTGAGAAGTGATTCTCTTCAGGAAGTCACTTAATACAAACTAAAAATTAGGACTTTGATGGCGCTCAATGGTCATGAATGTCTTAGGTAAGAAAAATTTATTAAGAACACAATACTTATTTCAATGATGGTTCAAGTGAAAACCTTCATCATATTAAGACTTGGATCTTATGAAAAGTGACAGTACATAGACATACATGCTTGTGTCTAGACTTGGATCAGGGTTATTACAGAGGTGTGGGCATCCCATGTGATGAAATCTTACATACTACAAAGCAAAAAAGGCCAAATATGCCAGAAGAAATGTGAAGGGAAAAGACAATATCTGATGAATGGATACTGGGGAAATGTTTAGTGTCTCAATTGAAACTGTGTTTGGGGTAATCATGCACCAGTCATTAGTCTAGCGTGGAAATGGTAGGATAGAAGGCAGTGTGTTACACAGTCCATCCGTGTAGCAGCATGGCAGAAAACTCTCAGCACATAGTATTTGTGTATCAGCACCATGCTAACTCATGCAGCCCCAAGGAGGACAACATTGCCCCTCACATTCAGGAGTCATGCAGGGACAGTCAGCTGTCAATCAAGAACTGAGGGACAGTCACGTATCAGTCAAGAACTGGGGCAGAATTGGCCGTGAAGCCTATGATCTGAAGAAGTTTAAACAGAGTAGGGAAATGAGATGAGACCTTAGGAACTACCAGACACTCAGACTCGCCTCTTTCCCATGCACTATCCAGGAGATACAATCCATTACACGTTGGGTCCTGGTTGTCATTGTCCAAGACTTATATTATAACTTCCTTTCCATATTGCCCTCCCTAGTTCAAAAAGGGGATGCTTCAAACCAATTATTATACCAATGGCCATTCAATACAGACTCAGTTATTGCCTTTATAATGAGATGACATATTCAGTCTTACATATGAATACTTTTATTCCACACACATATTCACATCTTACATTTTCACAGATGCGTGCTTCTTATATTTCCATTTTAGTGTCCACCATGGACAGGACATCACAGTAAATTCACCTATAATAAAAATTCCTCAAAGATAGTCAACACATCATGGAGTGTAAGGTGAATTATCACACTGACTAATTACAATAGTCCTTCAGCACCTTCACGGATGGCCTGCATTATCTTGATGTACCCACAGTCACCTTCAGTGCGGGACTTATAATAAGCACCAACAGGGACTGCCACAGGTGAGGAACACTTCTACTTTTCTCACTCACATCTTAGGTATGGAATTATTCTTGCGACTTCATTCTCTGTTCCACAGATCTGTTTCTACCCCAGATTCCCATTACCAGACATGGTTACTTACCTAAGTCTCTCTCCTTTGCTGGCTCTTTCCACCACAGCTGAAATACAAAGTACACATGTGGCTTCAAGTGTCTGCAGGGTGGTGTGTTCATTGGGCTGATCCTGACTCTTAATAAGCAGCTCTTTAATAACGTCAGCTCAAACCTGAGGTAGACCTCTGTGACTCTGGTCTCACCTCCCTACAGAACTGCAATTTTCATTTCACCTCCAGTGCCAATGACAGCACTTGCTGTTTGAGACAAGAACATTTATGAAACTTTTTCTGTTACTAATTAACAAAGACTCTTAAGTATTTCTTGTAAATATCTCCAAAGAGACAATGTGTTTTTATGAGCCACTGAGGTTTTGTGATCCCTGGAGGCTGAGCAGGTCTGCTGCATAAGGTAGTAGAAACTTAGAGGTCAGATTTGTGAGAAAGTAAGTGGAGTGTCTCTATTCATTGGATCCACACTTCACTTCTTGAACAGCAATCAACTTAGTTCTTTTTAAAAAGTTTAATAACATTTATTCCTTCAAATGTTTGAGCATTATACATGCTCATGAGTTTTAGTAAAGTGCACACCCCATTATCTCCTTTCCAATTTCTTTTTTACATCTTTCCTCCACTATTCCCAAATAAATTTAATGTGTTACAAAAAACAAAACAAAACCAAAAACAAACACTGTGAGTATGTACTGATCCTACTATGTGTCTACTTCAGGGGCATCTATGGAAGGATGGGTAGCTTCTTAAAAGTTTGTTACTTAAAGAAATTTGACATTTCCTCTCCCAGAAGCCATTCTTAACCAATAGTGTTTCATGTATAAGTGGTGGGACTTCTGGACACTCTCCACTCTGCTAGGATTTTGTCTACCTTGATCTGGTGCAAGTTTTGTACATACTGTTCTAAAAAGTGAATTCAAATGAGCAAGTGTCCTGTTCTGTCTTGACAAAAACTGTTGCCTTGGAATCATCTACCACTTTTGGTTCTTACACTCTTTCTGTCTCTATTCTAAGATGCTGTCTGAGCCTTTGGAAGGAGATATCTGATATAGATGCCCCATTTTAAGGTGAACCTTCCAGAGTTTCTGATTCTCAGCACCTTGAACAATTGTGTCCCTGTGTGTTAATCATGAGAGACTGCAAAAAGAAGCTTTTCTGATGAGGATTGCAAGGTATACTGATCTCTTGGTATGAAGAAAGTAGTGTAGGAAGCAATTTATTATTATATATATCTAACACAATAAGTATTATTCTCTTCCCCAGGGTCTAAGTACTCCATAGCCAGACATTCTTGTATTTGATAATGGTACCAGCCTTAGGTTCCATCTTGTGAACTGGATCTTCAGTTCAATCTTTAAGTGGTTGGTTACTCCCATGATGTTCATGATACTATTGCACCAGGCTTCTTGTTGTTATAGCTCTCAGAGTTCACAAAGGGGTAAGATTTATGGTAACTTCCAACACTGTATAAATTATTCAGTAGGGATGAAGCTTCATGGTGACTAAGACAAAAGAACAGAGTGTACGTAGATTTTTCCCTGATATCCTATGCCAGACATAGCAAAGCCTTCTTGGACCCTGGGGAATCAATAAAATATAATGTATGTTCAGCAATAGTGTCTTACCATCTAAGGACCATAGACACAAATATAGAGTTTTGACATTACTCTTCATTGTCATCAATTTATTTCTTAACTTTCAAATATCTACTCTGCTCCATTTTGAAGTACTCAGCATAGTAAAATATGAGAAGAATATCTAAAAATTAGTAGTAAAAGGAAAAGCATAATGTTGTACTTAACAAGGAGGTCATTTATTTGAATACTTAGTATAATGTATACAAACTAATTTTATAACTATGGTAAGAAAATACTCTGTGAAAAGTGAAAAAATATGGACCTTCTGGTGAAACAAATATCTTAAATTTAAATTTTGTTCACTTTTGAAATTTAACCATTATTACATTATTTTCCCTTTCTATTGATTTTCTCCAACTCTTCCCATGTTTATACCATAAATTTTCTCAAATTCATAGTCTCTGTTTCATTGTTATTACATATATACATTCCTAAATATGTAAGTACAACCTGTTTAGTCCAGATAATGTTAGTTGTATGTATAACATTTCAGCGCTGACCAGTTAGTATTGATGACCAATTGGGAGGCTTCTCTGGGGAAGACTATTTCTCCCAATCTCATCATTATTGGTTGTCTCCACTTCTTTCTCTGTGATTGAAGATTCATAAGATTCAACTCTTATATGTTAGCACATCTATTAATATCATCCTTGCTCAAGTCTTGTTAATGAAGCTACATTGTTGAGACTTTAAGGGTATATCATCTCTGAGATTTCTAGTAGATACAATGTCACAGCAAAATTCCTGTTATCCTCTCTCTTTCAGTGTTTTCATCCACTCTTCTACTATGATCCCCAAACATTAGCTATAGATTCTGTGTATAGATGTTATCAGGTCATGCTGGCACAACACTGTGCCTTGTTTATGGTGTTCTCTTCTTATTCTCTGTAATGGTCTCTATCTGTGGTAAGCCAAATTTCTTAGATGAGTTGTGGTAACTATACTTCTCTGTAGGTATAAGGATAAACATTATATTTTGTTTAGGAGCCTGCTAGGATAGTAAAGTGTAGAAAGTAGATTCTCCTCTTAGAACCATGATGTCACAAGTTCTGGTTCCAGCACCAGGCATGATTTCCCTCCATAAAGCAGAAATATTTCCAAATTCTCCTTATTGTTTAGCTTGAAATCAAAACCAGGCAAGCACCAACAAAAATATGATATATATTTGCTCTATACCCTTTTTTTAAATCACTAACTTGTACAAAAATATGCTGTTAATAGGAAAATAGATGCAAATCAAGAATTACATTAAGTGAATAAAGCTAGTCATGGATAAACCACTTTTAGGACTGGTA